TGAAGCAACTTCCATGTGATTGGTTGATTAGATAATTGCATTAATGAGAAATTGAACAGGTGTTCCTAATAATCCTTTAGGTGAGTGTATATAGACACTTATTTGTAGACTTAGTCCCCTGAGATTGGTTTGGTATATAATGTAGAACATCAGGGTGTGTGTCTTGACTTTAGGCCACGTGTCATTCCAGACAATTCCCATCTCAGTGTGGAATCTCAAAAAAGGTTTGATTTCCTATAAGTGCCCCGTAGTCGGGGCTTTGCTGCTGAGATCAGCCTCCGAATTGCAGTGGCTGGGTCATGGTTTTTGGCTGAAGCATCATCCATTTCATAAAGGGGAGCAGTACAGAACATTCAAGGGCCTTCTCCCTGGGATAAAGCAAGCCAAAGCTGGCTCATTGATGAGCTTCATTGATGATTAGGAGAACATTTTGACCATCACGTCGAAGCCTCCTTCTTCACCAGTGAATCGCCCTCTGTCAGTAGTGAGTAAAAGTGGCCTTTAGAGGGCTTGATGTGCGAGGCCTTGGATGTTTCAAGGGAGAGTTGAGGTTACGTGTAACTAATTGATAGTTGTATGAAGTAAGTTTGTTATGTGTGAAAGTAAGAGGGAGAATGGAAGCAGTAACTCAGCTTTTGGGGTTTACTGGGGGCTTCTCTGAGGTAGAGTGAAGAACATGCGTTTGTACAGATTGTATCTGACTAAGGCTACGTTCACACTGCAGGCCTTAATGCTCAATTCTGATTTTCTGCTCAGATCGGATTTTTTGTTTGCCTGTTCACATTACTCATTTTAATGTGGGCAATATCAGATTTCAATGTGAACGGTTCACTGTACTCAACCGGCCCACGTGCGCACAAAACAACAAAGACGCAATGACGCGCATCCGCAAAAACAAAGATGTCACTTTATTGATTTGAAAACTTTATTGAATCAGTTACGATATGAGCCTTCCAGTTTTGCCTGAACAGATTTATCTCCCCAAATACTTATTAAATCTAGCACCTCACTGTCCCTCCACTGGTAAACTTCTGTGCTTTCCTCCATGTTTGGCACTCTGACGGAGACATATGGTGACTTCCGCCTGCGCAGAATTGTGACGAATGTTGATCGAGAGTGACGTAAAAGTCGCATGAATTCCGATTTCGCTGTTCAGACTGAGGTCGCATTGCAGAAAACCAGACCTGTATCTGATTTATTTCCACATACTGAAGTGGCCCAAATTGGAATTGAAAAAATCGGATTCCATGTGACTTGTGCTGTTTACATTGTCATGAAAAAATACGATCTGAGTCACATACGAGCAAAAAATCGGATTTGGGCCACATTTGTCCTGCGGTGTAAATGTAGCCTAACAACCTACGCAACTTACTATGACTTGCATACATGACTGAAGTTTAAAATAAAAAAAGTAAATATTTGTAAAATTAAATTGCCGGTGGCTCTATGCTCAACGGCGCTATGCTACCAAGTGTGTGCTGCATGCCATATAGTAGTTGCCGTGGGAAAGCGCAGCTATCCCAGCCTCACATTGCCCTCACATTGCCCTCACATTGCCCTCTCATTCTCACAAAAAAAAAAATTGCAGTGGGAATTTTTTGCGATAAATATTGCAATATTTATAAAGCAAAAAAGTGTTAAAAATATACCCAAAATAAACTATAGCCAAATAGAACTTATCTACTAATAACGTCTGACAAATAAGTTGGGGATGTTACTGTGAGTTGTGCCGACAAATCATTGGCTTTTGCTCAATATCCTCTCTATGGAATCCAAAATATTTTCATACAACAGAAGGCAAATGGCTTTCAGTAACCAGTTCTTGTTCACTTTCCTCCTCCCCACTCATTTTGTTAAATCTGTCACAAATGCGTTTGATTTAAACAGCTCAGAGAACGCATGCGGAGCTCGTGCAAAAGCAGTGGCGGTAGACTTTGAATTGATTTTTTTCACATATACTTGAAAAGAACTTGTTAAAATTGCACAGCTTACTAAGTTTTGTTTCCTATGACTGAGTAAAAATGTTTTAGTGAAACTTAATATCCCCTCCCCGTGCTAATGTTATAATGCCTGGACAGTATGAAAGTACGAAAAGACCTGATATCGACCCAGGTGACACTCATGGACCTGGCAATGTGAGAATTGCATGTGCATCGATATTAATACTGGATATCGCCCAACCCTAGTCGGAACGGAACCCAGTGGTAAGTTGGGGACAGTCTGTAGTTAGCTTCAGACACCTGTTATACACGGAAGGCAAATAAACCCCCGCATTCAGTCTTCTCAATCCCTTTGTCCCATGGGTTTGTTCCCCATAATACCCAAAAAAATGAGTTTTTCACAGTTTTTAGTGAGAAAACCTGCTGTTTTTTTGTGTGTGTTCAAAAAAAAGTCTATCGTGGGGAGTTCAGACCAAAATGAAAGCCTTCATGCCAAACTAAATGCTGGGGATAAAATACAGTCTGGCAGTGCCTGACAGCGTGCACCATTTAGAGCTGGGGGACATAGGTGCTGGGTGCCACTAAATGGCTGGAATGAGTCATTTTGCTTTGGAGCGGGGGCCAAAAAACATGCACAGATGAGTGAAATAGTGGGAGTCAGAAATGGTCTCTGAGAATTAGTCAAGGATTATGATTTGGCCGACAGTATGACTATATCAGAGTATGTATATATACCAAATGGTGTTTGGACTGGGGGGCTGTTTATATTTGGTTACTAGGTGTTTCTCTAGCTTTCTATTGAAGTAAATGTGTTAAATTGCTCTTGGCTTGTTTTTCTTTTCTGTTTACCGGTAATTCCATATCATTTTCTGCAGCAGGAGAGTTATGTGTGACATTGCAGGCTGATAACAATGGCTGATCTTGTGTGGAGCTTAGAAACTTTGGTTATGTGAGGCTCTTACTGCAGCCCCAGTCTTCAAAAGGGCAGCCTGGAAGATAGTTGGGGGTGGGGGGGGGGTTGTAATTACGGTCGACATTGTTCGGTAAAGTTCAAAACACAAAAGTGTCTATTGTACTGGTTTACTGATAAGGATGTTGGGGGGGGGGTGGGTAACTCAGGCCGAGAGATGTTATTGGAATTGTAAAATGATAGCGTATATCTCAAGGGATTCCATGCTCTGTCTCACTCCCCAGAAAAGAAGAGATACACACCTCCTGCCAGTCATTAATCATCCCGCCTTAATTAAACTGTCATCGCAGAACTCTGGAAATGAGACAGTCTCTTAATGAACATATCGGGCTATTTGTCGCTGGTGTTTTGGATACATCCAAGGCGACGATGAAAGGAGCGTAAACAACACGCGTCTGGGGGCGGGGGGAGCAGTCCCGGCGCAGGAGAGGGACCACGGATCCATCTACCTGTCTCCCTCTGTCTGATGGGTGTCCGTTCCTCTTTCCTGCGTTTCTGGCAGCACTATCCCGGGAATTAGACTTACACTTTATCAGCTGCTACCCCAGAGATACAAGTTATAATTTATGTGAAATTAATAAGGAGTGCAGACAAGTTTTGGACAGGCTGGCCTTCTCAGGCTTCCTAAGTGGCTCAGGGGGGGCACGAGAGACACTGGGGAAGCGGGGTGGGCGGTGGGGTAGTGAGAGGATTAAAGGCAAACTTTGGAATGATTTTGTCCGATATCGACGTCCTATTTTGTACATTAATAACCAATTCACTTTTGTTAATTATCAAAGCCAGTTTCAGACAGTCTACAGTGGAGACCGAATGTCTGCCGCTCATCTGAAAAGCAGACTGTTCACCACTTGCACACACAAGGCGTCGCCATGTGTTAAAATGATGTTGCCTGTAGGTGTGTGCGTGTGTGTGCATGTGTGTGCGTGTGCGGACCTCCTGTTCCATTTCCCCCACATATTCATGAACAGATGATGCGGTTATTTAATTTATGTAATATGTCAGGCTGGTAAAACTCTTTACTGATTTTTTTTCTTCTGTAAGATGTTTTGATTCCTGAAAACGATTCAACTCTTCATATTAAATGTTATCTGCAAACTCGCTCCCTGCCTTATCTGTAGACCTTCTTAAACCCTACTCCATTGGGATGTTTGGCTGTGGCTGAGGTTTGCACATGTGCTTTTTGCCTTTCAGACAGCGAGCGGTAATGTGGAGGCCAAGGTGGTCTGCTTCTACAGACGGAGAGACATCTCCCACAGCCTGATCCAGCTGGCGGACAAACACGCGAGTGAGTGTGCACGTGTGTGTCACGTGTCGCCGTGGCCTTGGGTCCGGTACCCCATGCGTGTGTCCTGTCGCACGAAATATAATCATTTATGAGTTAAATCATTTGATTTCTGCGGTATGTTTGAAATGAATTGAGCTCAACAGGTGTTGCAACCCTCCATATGCTTGCCCAAGGCCAGCGTCTGCAGATGTAGGCATCCACGGAGGTCCTGCATGCTAATTACCGTTGTCTCAGAACTCCGGGAACCATACCCACAATGCTAATTATCTCGGAACCAAACAGCTGATCTGCAGGAGCCCCGCCTCAGAGCCGTGTGATATTAATGAGAAACATCCCCGTTTTTGGGCCTCGCGGGGGTGAACGTGGCTGATAATGAGGGCTCTCCTGCCTCTACCTGAGCCTTAGCCTCTATGTCACACAGGAGACCTGGAGGAGGAGAAGGAGGGGCCCCGAGACCCCGAGCTCAATGACAAGCAGAAGCACCAGCTGCGGCACCGCGAGCTCTTCCTGTCGCGGCAGTACGAGTCGCTGCCAGCTACGCATATCCGGTACGTTGCCGCCACCCGTGGGCTGCACGATCAGGGGCTTTCAGGGCATAAAATGAACTGGACAGGGTCTTTAATGTGGGAATGGGGAGGACTGTTAGGGCGAGGGATCGGCTGATAACTGGCACCGCACTGCGTAGAAGTTATGGCGAGTGGGTGTGCAGGGGGCTGCTGGAGATCAGGTCCATGAGCGACAATGGGAGGAGCTGGCAGGGAGGTCCAGTCTGGCTGTGTCTCTCCATCCCGGCATCTGGGCCTCATTTCTCGGGTCACCCTCACAGTGGATGCTTGGCTATGGAGAGGCTTTCTCCAGGTGATGTATGTGGGGTTGTGAGGAGTAGCTGTGTAACCCTTTCAATCACCTGGGCCGGTCGATATTTGTGCTGATGAAGGGTGTCTTGCCTGTAATGGGTTGCTGCCCCCGGCCGTCATTTCACCGCTGCACCTCCTACCTGAAGGGGCGGGGAAAGCCACATGCGCTCGCGGTGGTGTGTCAAGCACATCGGCAGCAAGGCCTCGCTCTTGAATGAGACACTTAACCGGAATTGCCTCGGTAAATATTCAGCCACCCAGATAGATAAGTAGTCACCTTTAGCAAATCAATTTTGAATTACTTGCGTCTGTTAGACTTGTATATATAAGGTATTCAAATAGTGTCCCCGTGCGACGGGCTCCCGGCAAACAGCCCCCACCCCCGGAGGACCCCATCCCTGCTGATTGGGCAGATCCATAGCTGCTTCCTCCAACAGTGTCCTTCTAGGTTTTCAGTACGGCTGCTGTTTAGACCCACGCCCTGTGGTGAAAGTGTGGGCCTCGTTTTCCGACCACCCCTCCTGTGTCCCTTCCAACCTTAGGGGGAAGTGCAGTGTGGCGCTACTGAATGAGACCGAGGTTGTCCTCTCGTACCTGGAAAAAGAGGTACGTCTGCGGATCCATCTGGAGCCATGGGTTAGGCTGCATATGACCACTGTCTACATTGCTCCTCCTGGTGCAGAGCCTTTTGCTGAAATGTGACACACACCCCCCACCCAGGACACCTTCTTCTACTCGCTGGTGTACGACCCCACACAGAAGACCCTGCTGGCAGACAAAGGGGAGATCCGGGTGGGTCCACGCTTTCAGGCCGACGTTCCAGATATGCTGTCGGAGGGTGAGTCTCCCGGTGCGGCCTGCCTGTGTGTCACGCCCATTCCCCTAGCTCTCCTCGCCTCTCGCGCATGCAGGCCGGCTGACACGGACCCCGGCTCTGTCCGCTTATTCATCTGCACGGCTCCACGGGCCAGAATCCTGCTCTGTTTTGCTTGGCAACCTCCGGCTAGCCCAGGCATCGCCAAATGCCGCTCGGTGGCATGGGAGATGCGTCCAACGCCCCCCCTCCCCCTCACAACACTCCATACCAGCAGGCCATCTTGGCGGATGCTGGCAGTGTCTTCTTACCACTCATTATAAAAAAGAGCAGAAATAATGCTTTTGATTTAATCTGATATCAGAAAACACTCAGTAAGGATGTATCGCAGGCCAAGGCTCCATTATCCCTCATTTATCTGTCTCATTACATCATTTCTGTTCTCATTAAATTCAACCATCGGTAAAGAGCATTAATGGGTTTTCTGAATGTGGGATTTTTTTGTTGCCTGGTTTACATACATATTTTCCTCTGGCCATTTGTTTGACATTTTTTGAGCTGAGATACAGAGATGCGCGAGTGTCGCAGCTTCATGTTTCAGATTCCCAGGGCAATGTGGTGGACGGATGCCATGTGGAATTCCCGGAGGTCTGTTGCCATGGCACAGCCACTGTGACATCACCCTGAGCAGCTCCTGATGCGCAGTGATGGGTTTGATTTGTGATGGTCAAAGGGGCATGGGCAAAAATAGATAAACAAATACTTCTTATTAGGGGGATGAAGGATTCAGGGGTGGGGGGGGGGGGTAACCAGGCGTGAAATTGCAGCTCTGATCTCCAGAGGCTGACAGAACGTGTTAAACCCGCTCCCCCAGTTTATCCTCTTCCCTATGTGCCTCCCGGGAGGGTGGTCATGTTGATGGGATGTGCTGTGAATCGTGCTAAGCCCCCCATTTACTGCCTCGTCAGGACAGGTCAAAGCCCCCTCCTCTGCTTCTCCATGCAGGGGACGGGCTCTTGCGTCCGGATGCATTCCTTCAACGCCTCTGACTTCCAGATTCTGCCGGAGATTCCTGGGTGTGGATCCATTGTAGATCAAACACTAACACCTCCATACTTTCGGCAGCCTGGTCGCATGACCCCCCAGGAGCTAGACCCGTGCTTCTGACGGTGTGTCCAGTGGCTAATCAGCCTCCATGTGGCCCTTCACTCCCTGAATCACCCCCTCCTTCCCTAGTGCCCCCTCCCTGCTTGCTGAACTGGAGCATGTAGCCCAGAGAAGGTCAGGATTTGCAAAGCAATCAGCCGCCGAGATGGAGGTAATGTCACTCGGGCGGCAGGACCCCGACTTGCGTGGTGGCGACTCTCAAGTGCTCGGCCTCCGCGCACCCCCACTCCGCACCCCCACTCCTCTCTGGCCTGCCAGGGCCCCACTGTTGTTTGCCCCTCTGACTCTGAAAGCTAATGGCCTCTTAAGTATGCGACTCATTTCCGCCTTTTCCCGTGGAAGTGCTCGCAGATTGCCTGGGGACCACTGGGTTGGTGCCAGAGGTGTTGGGCCCCACGGTCCCCGTCCCGCCTTGTTCCTGGCTGCGCTGACTCACAGCCAAAAAGACATGTGGTCAAGTCTTTGTGGTGTGTCGCGGGGGTCCGGGGGCCAACTTACCGGCTGGACAGGGGTTGAGGGCAAGATGAGGGTCCTATGAGCCACGTTCAGCTAGCGGCCCCCCCCCCCCCCCCTCCAGCGTCGTTACCTGGGCATGTATTTAAGGTCAGGAAATGATCATTTGCCCAAAATTCCCCTCCTGTCTCAGTCTCTTTATAAAAAGATTTGGCCACCTTGGAAAAACACC